TACCACGTATCATGAAGCGAATATCAAACCAATTTATAAATCCTTTGGTTCACACGCGGATTCTTTCAAAGTATTGAAAGTAATTTACTGTAACCGCTGAAGGATACATTTAAGAATTTCGAATATTTACAAAAAAAAAAACAAAAAAAAAAAAAAAATCATTTTCCAGTTTTTCTTTGGTCCAGTTAACATAAAAATAGTAAGTAAACATATTAATGTTGGCCGATGACCTAAGTTATAACATTTTTTTAATAGGTTATATTTAATTTAAATGGTAGTAAAAAAAAAAAATTTTTTACTATCATATAACAGATAAATTTTGCTATATTAAAAGGTTGTAAAGTAATATCAATATATAACCGAATGACCTAGACCAATACCGAAAACATAGTGTATTTATAAGTGATCTCGTTTCTTTGCAGTTCGATGATATGGCCTTAAAACCCATTCAGTGTCTGCAGCTTTCAGGTCCACAGTTCCCAGTTTAATTTCATATACTTGTTAATTGAAAATAATAGAATGTTAAATGTTATTAATTCTTAAACAAGAATAAAGAACGGTTATTACTTACTTCTTATTTCAAACCGAGGACCAACTTCAACAAGCTGTACTTCCTTATTATTGATTTTAACATAAACATGATGCCTAGATAATCATAATATATCTTATTAAAAATGATGAAAAAAAAAAATTAAATTAAATTCGAGAATTCAATTTTTCGTACCGAAAAGAAATAAAATCACTTTCATTAGCAAAAGTTAAAACTCTTTTACTGTCATCCTTTGGAACAGGAAATAAATATTTAAGAATACTAGTAACCTTAGAAAGCAAATAAAGTTAAAAAGTCGGCATTTTTTAATATTCAATTGTTAAGATAATTTTACATACTCGACGACCCAAATTAGAATTAAAATTATGGAATATTAAGTGAGGGTATACTTGAGAAACTGTGCCTTCATCTTGAATATCATGACGAAGAACAACATTATGAAGTGAAAAATATGCTGTAGGTCCATATGGAAAATGACATATAATCATTCCATCTAAATAAAAGTTAAGGTTCATAATTATTATATTAATATATTGAATATAGAAATTTAACCCAAATTTACCTGGTTCACCACGATGTTCATGTAATATTATTAAATCGGTGATTTCGTTGGCTCTGCAGGCATCGACCATATCTTTAATAACATAATTACCGCGATTTATACGTTGTGAGTTTGGAATAATCAAACGCACTTCCTGTACAAAATAGTTACAAATATATCAACTATAAAAAAAATAAAAAAATTCATAAATATATTATTACCTTTGCAAATTGGGCGAGTCTGCTACTCGGATCACGTGAAGTTGTGATAAGTACTTTAGGATCATATATTCCAGCTCGAGCATACTCGTCATCAATGTGTGTAGACGGTGCTAAATAGATTTAATTTTAAATTTACAATTAAATTAAAAAAAAAAATCAAAAATCAAAAAGTAATTTAAATACCAGTCTGTGCTTCATCGAAATTGAGATCTTTTTGAAGTTTAGCAGCTTCCTGACGCAATTCGGTGGGAATTAGATTTCCTTCTATTTTAATTAAAATTGGATTGGTAAGTAATGTTATATATTTTTTTGAATTCATTCTAATAGATGATATTACCTTTAATAGCTTCTTTTATTTTTTGCTTCCTCTCATAAATTTGCTTTTCTTTATTCTCCAAAGACTTTCGATACAAATACTCTCGCCTAAGTCGTGTTTGTCTACGAATCTTTTTTAAGAAAAATTTTTAAAATAAATGTAATTTATGTTTTTCAAAAATTTAAGTAAAAAGAGAACATACCATATTTGAACTTTTTAATGAAAAAAAAAAAATTTTTTAATGATAATTTTTATAGTCACATTGTCGCACAAATCAGATCGATCAAGATTTAAAAAAGATTTTTGAAAACTCTAACGTTAAATACTATTAATACTGTTAAATATTGTAATAATGATCAAAGTTTCAACAAGTAGCAAAAAGAAGGGTGCACAAAAACATCAGAATACTTATGCTTTTCATGCTAACAAAAATTCAAAAAAGACAAAATTAATTAACTCTCTACCGATAAATGGAGTGTAAGTTAATAAAAAAAAATATCACATTGAAAATGGCTTTTTTTAATAATAAAATAATAAATGTAATGTAGATGTAAAAGATGTAAAGAAATTATTGAATGGCGTAAAAAGTTTAAAAAATATAAACGACTGACAACACCTAAACGTTGGTAAGTCAGCATCTGATATTAAAATGGTTAATATCCAAAAAAAAAAAAAATTATAATTTGTTATTCATATATTATAATAAAGTGTTTGCTGTGAAGAGAAAACCATTAAAGAAGCCTACCATATCTTGTGCAACAAATGTGCTAATGACAAGGGAGTTTGCGCAAAATGCCAAGAGTCAGCGGCTATTGTACATAGGTTTGTTTATTGTCATTTAACGACATGCGAAAGACATAATTAACAATAATTCATGTTTAGCGATGTAAAAAGCGATAAAGAATTAATGCAAGAGCAACAAGATTTAGATTCTGCATTATCATCATTGCCAGAACGAAAGAAAAGAACATATTTACGTCAATTGAAAAGTGGAAATGCAGTGTCACTTAGTAATCAGAACGAAGAAACAGATGATGACCACCTTGATAGTGTTTCAGATGAAGAAACAAGCGATGAAGAGGATTCGTAGTAGTTATAAATTCTGGTAACACTTCGTTATCAATTTTCATGAATACTCATTATTATACACATTTGAATAAAATTTAGAAGTTTGATATACCAATAAAAGTGAGATTAATTTGGTAGTTATAAAAGGTTATTAAAATGGAATAACTTCATAGACATGCTTGCAAAATCAAAATCCTAGCAGTTCTTATGACAACCAAAAATATAATTTATGCTATGGTTTTTAATAACCTCTATACTAAATTATATCTCCAGTCGTTCTAATATCGCTCAATAAAATTATGTTAAGCATCTTTCATAAGGTATGGCAAATACAGAACAACAGTATATTATTTCAGAGGAATCAGAAGATAATGTACTCTCTACAGAATCAGATTCATTATTAGAAAAAAGTATTTGGACACCAAACAAAGATAGATATAAAAGAAAAAGAACAATAAGAGCTAAAGTAGCAGCTATCAAAGTTTTAGGAAACAATGAGAAACATAGAGAAAGATCACTCAGATAGTTGATAGGAAGAAATATTCACCTGAAAGAAATTTCAGAAAAGTTTGAACATGGCAATTTCTAGTACATAGTGACTTTTGACTGTATTAAAGACTATGAAGAGGCAAAAGAAAAATTAGAAAACAAGAAAGAAGAATATAAATAAGCTAATCTCCTTCTAAAGGAAAATAAAGAACAAGAAGAACTGAATAGAAAAACAGAAAATCATGACATAAAGAATGCAACTCAAAAGGCCAAGAAACAAAAAGAAAAAGAGAAAAGCAAACAGAAAAAGAACTCAAAGAAGTTTTTGTAAGAAGAAGTGAGAAAGCAGAAACCAATATATATGAATGAGACTTCCTAAAAAGAAAGAAACTACAACATATCAAGCTAACAAAAACTTAAACCTAACAGAGGATAACAACAAAATTACAGTTTGGAACCTATCAGTTTAGGCTAAAAAAACATAAGTATTTGAAATAGTTCACTTTCTAGGAAGAGTAGAGCATATTAAAATAATTAAACATGCCTCAAATAAAACAAGAGCAGAAGTAGAGTTTAAAACAGACACCCTTGACAAAAAAAAAATAAATGAGATTTGGTACCTGCTATTTGCGAATAAAATATTAGTAAGAATTTTAATAGGTACTAACAATCTCACTTTACTCCACACAAGAAATAGATTTAGCAAAAGATTATTAGACCTGCTAGAAAACACAAATGAAATACTTCTGTAGAGACAAATAAAAAGATTAGGAGCTAAAGCACTATATATTTTCAAGAACTCTAATAACAACAATATAAGGAGTGTAACAGTTTACTTTGAAAAGGAAGAAGACATGTTAAATTGCTCCAAATTTTCATTGTCCTACTATGATAACAAGTTAAGATAGGCAAATTCAACAAAATACGAAGCAGATTTAAAAAATAGAAAGGCTATAAACAGGGAAGAGCTAGGAGCTCACAGAAGAAGTAATACAAGAAGCACCAGAACAAGAAAAAATATAGAACAAGACTAAGAAGTCTTTAGAAGACTCATTCCAAGTAATAAAAAAATAACAAGCAATATTAAGCAAATAGTAAAAACTACGCAAACAAGTGTTTATTTTGAGAAAAAGAGAAGGGAAATACAAGAAAGCAAAAAAAAGAAGTCAATTATGAAGTATCTAGCAGTATACTGGCAACCCAAAAACAGATCTCAGACTCAGAAAATACTTATGATTATATGCTACAACTCATAAGAAGCTTTGAAGAAAAAATTTAATATATAGAGTAGAAGACTTCAAATCGCTCCTAACAGATATACCAGTTGAATTAATAGAAATAGACAGTGGAGCTAACTGTCTCAGCACAGAGAGCCTCGTTAAAAGAAGAGAAAAAGGAGTTGCAGTAGAAGACTTTCAAACATTAAAAGTAGCATCACATAATATTAATAGAATAAAAGAAAACTTCACAAAATTGGAATTATTATTAGAATAGACAAGTAAAAAAAATATTGATATGATTGGAATAAATGAAACAAATACAACAAGTAGACATAACAATTTTAATCTAAGAGATCAAAATAATTATATAGGTATATAGTCTGATGCAGAAGAAAACAAAAAGAAAGGTTCTGGTGTCAGTCTAATAATCTGTAAAAAATAGAAAAGATATTTAAGCCAAGTAAAAAAAAGAAATACCTATTATTTAGAAGTACTTTTTGTATTTTTTTTTTTTTGGCAATCTTGCCTATCATTTTATTAAAAAAAAGCTTACATATGCTACAAAGTAAATTACTATCTAAAGTATAATAAAATTTCCTTCTTCAACCATTTTGAACTCACTTGGCTGCTTTATGATGCCTAGATATGATCTGCCGCAGCAACAATTTCTCTCACAAAGACTTTAGTCTGCAGATACAAACTCTAGGTCTCTAGTCCATGAAAGGCTGCTACTAGCCTATAGAAGTACTTTTTGTATTCAAAAGGCATAAAGTACTAGTCTTAGTAATATACATACTATACAATGATTCTAAGATTAGAAAAGATATCTAGTAACAGGTTATTAAAAGAATATTTAAATATCAAAATAAAGAAAAAGTTATAAAAGTCATAATACTAGGAGACTTTAATGATATTTTATGCAAAGAGCTAGATCAAAACAGAGAAGACTCTAGGTAAGCTCAAAAACTTCCACTCCTGAACTGGCTTGAAAACTCTAATATGATCAATACATTTAGGAAATTACATCTTTATAAAAGAAAATTCACAAGAGAAAATAATCAAGTAAAGTCTAGAATCAACTATATTTAGGTATCTAAAGATCTAGGCCAAGACCTTATCTATTGTAATATACTGAAAGCAGATGTAGTCACAAACAGTGACTATACTATTGTAATTGCAAAAATGCTAACAGGCATAAAGAAGAAAACTAGATTTTTGGCTTTTAAAAAAAAACTAAAAAGGAAAAAGTAGTTATTCCTTCTTAACAAAGCAATAGAAGAAAACTGGGAAGATTATAAAACAAAACTAGATAGTTTATGCAAGAAGAAGCTGAACATTACAAAAGATGAATATAATCTAGTTTACCTAGAGACATTAAACAAAGATAACTTGTAAGACATAATTGCAACAAGCATAATCAAATATACAAGAGCAACTCTCTCAGAAAAGAAGTTTACAGTAGAAAACTTGTCTCAGAAAAAAAGAAAGAGAGCAGAAATATTAAGAAAGATCTAAAGATAATTAGAAGCATGTGCTAACAATGCTCTTCGAAAATAGATCAGCATATTGATAGCACAGACAAGTATTTAATGAATGCAAAAATAGCAAGAATAAATAGTCTATATAAAATAGAAATAGAAGAACTCTCTGAAACTATGTGAACCAAAAAAAGATATGAAGAGCTAAAGGTGTAGTGGAAGATTATATATTTAAAAGCTTAGCAAGCAAGAAAGAAAGAGAATCTTAAAGAAATTAATATGGCAGTTGAACATCGCTATGAAGCAATATAAAGAGAACTCAAACATATGATAAGCAGCTTACTTGAAAGATCTTTAAAATGAGTAGTCATAGACAGAATCATTAAAGAGGACAACTCAGAAATAGTACTAGTAAACCAGAAAAAAGATGTACTAGAAGAAGTGAAAAACTATTTTAAAAAGCAATTCTGCAAAAGAAACATCTATGTTTTAGACATACCAATTAGATAAAAAAAAGTATATGATCTATTAGAAAAGATAGACAACAAAATATACAATAGTTTAGAAGATGAGATTTCTGAAGAAAAATAGTTAAAGGTACTTAAAAAGACAAAGCCAAAGTCTGCATTAGGTTTATCTAGTATAAGCTATCCAATAATAAAAAAAGCAAGTACAATAGTACAAAAAATATTCAGACATCTCACTAACTTGTGTATCAGAGAAGAAGAAATCCTATCTAAATGGAAGCTCAGCTAACTCTATCCAATTCCTAAAGGAGAGGACTAGAATTATAACTTGTCTAATACTTGTTCAATTGTGCTAATCAAAACTTTCTGCAAAACAGTAGTGAGAGTCCTAACACACAGACTAGACAAAACTCTAGTAGATTTCAATGTCTTGAAAGGTCCTAATTATACTAAGCTCTCAGGCGATAGCACAATGAGCCCAATTCATATAATAAACAATCTGCTCGAGGATGTAAGACAAAAAAACAATGAGCTGTAGATTTTATTCCAAGACATGCGAAAAGCATTTGACTCTGTAGGCTTAGAAATGCTAGAGAAAGCTCT